ATATAAAATGACATAAATAAACAATTTGTACCTCCACCATAAAAATAAATCATTGACGAATCGGTGAATTCAACATTATTATCACCACTACTCGTTGTTGTTGTTGCTAATAATAATTTATTTTCACCATTATTTGCTAATAATTGCGCATTAAATGTAAAACAATTACCATAAGATGGAGACATAAATTGAGTGTATTTTGATTGATTACTACAATCTAATATATTATAATTACAACCGACTAATAAATCATTTATATCATAACCATAATTAATTATTTGTGTTTGATTATTTGAATTAAATAAATTATTTATAAATTGTTTCATACAATAGACATCATTATTAATATATGAACAATTTGTATTTAATAAATAATTATTATATGATTCATTAATTTTATCATAACGAAATGGATTTGAATTACAAAATGTTATAGCTGGAAAATTTAGTTCAGTTTCAGATGTAATTTCAATTATTGTTTGAGTTGGATAATGATAATATTCAATTAAACATTGAACAATAAAATATAACATTAAACCACATGCAAATGTAAATGTTAAAAGCCAAAATAAAAAATGACAACTATTATATGCCAAACCTAAACTTTTTAAACCATGTGTAGACGTACTTATTAAATATTCATTTATTATTGATATACGACGACGTTTTATATAATCTTTTTTGTTATTTGATGATTGTGTTTGCTCATTCATATTGCGATTCTGTTTATCTAATGTAAATGATGATGAGACAGTTGTCATTCTATTAGTTGTCGTCACGAATATTCACCAAACCTTTTAAATGATAATCACATCAGGTTTTTCTTTTCCTTTTATACGTCACAATAAAAGAAGAAGAAAAAGGAAAATACTTTTTATTAAGAAATGTCCGCCCATATTTGACTGTATCGAAAAGAGAATGAGTTTAGTCGATAATTACTAAGAAAAGAAAAGAAATTCATTTGAATAGTGCATTTAACAGGCGTTTTATTGCCATTTCGTACAAATATTTAATTATTCTACAGGAAATTAAAGGATTTTCTTTTATTCTACGTAATGATCCAGAAAAAGAAAAACCAAAGAAATTTTCTATTTTTTAACTCGTCCTTATAAAAAAAGACCAATTAAAAAACTATTCAAAACTTTCTTTCTGAATGAGATAAAATTTACTTGTCATTTCAAGCGAAAGTCTGACATTCCGGTTCTTTTTACAATAAAATTTCTATGAATCGAGCGAAAACTTGTTCGGTAGTTCCGAGAATTTTTTTTTACGTTCGTAGGTCAACATGCACTACAAACTTATAAAATTGATTTTTAGTGAATCTCCGAAGATCTAACTTATGAAGATCCATCCTAGAAAGACCTGTGAGCGGAAATGAACAATAGATGTGTAACCAGCATAAATAAATAAATAACCTAATGCCCCCGATACATAGTGGACATTTTTTGCTAGAGCAGGCGGACTTTAGCTTTATGAGTGAACTAAAATTTCATGAACCATTTTTTTTTTTTATAGGTTTTTCATGATCC